GATATCTACAGGGTGATATCTACAGGGTGATATCTACAGGGTGATATCTACAGGGTGATATCTACAGGGTGATATCTACAGGGTGATATCTACAGGGTGATATCTACAGGGTGATATCTACAGGGTGATATCTACAGGGTGATATCTACAGGGTGATATCTACAGGGTGATATCTACAGGGTGATATCTACAGGGTGATATCTACAGGGTGATATCTACAGGGTGATATCTACAGGGTGATATCTACAGGGTGATATCTACAGGGTTTTACAGAGGCGCCTAAAAAAGGCGAGCCTTCGTTTTGAGGCACCTCAGAAAGCAGTGCAACGGGTCGACACACCAGTGGACAGACTAATGAGGGAGGCGAGAGGCCATGAAAGAATGCATGGAAAAAACAAGAGGGAGAGGAGTGGGTGTTGGGGAACGGGAATCGTACCCCAGCACGCATCTGGTTGAGCCCTCCATTGGCATGCACCGTCAGATAGCCTCGTGTTCTCCTCCCACTGGCTGCCCCATGCCATGCCATGCCACGACATGCCATGCCATGGAAACACACACCATCCATGCCATGGCATGTCATCCAAACAAGCATCACACTTTTCATATCCAAACACCCACAACTCGTCCATGCCATCCATTTAGGTGATCAACATACAAATACGTACACCCCACGTACAAGAAATCAGGAAGTTGATCTTGTAGTTCAAAATAAAGGGGCAAACAAGCAGATTGACTCCATTCAAAGCGGCATATATATCTCCCCAAACACCCCACCCCCTCCTTCCCACCTCTTTTCACCCCTCCCTACACCACTCACTGCACCCAACCCCTTGCCAAGCCTCTTTGGCCCTCCCCTCGAACCCCCACACACCTTTCTTGTAGCTGGCGCTGGGCTCCACACATGGGCCATACCCATGCGAAGGGGGGTTCTGCCAAAGCCTCTTTTGAAGGTCCTCTGCCTGCCATGGCACATGGGATGGAATGGCACATGGCAGGGCGTGGCATGGCCTCAACCTCAAGAGCATGAAGGCTTTCAAAACAATCGGGAGGAAAATCCTCTCTATTCACTGCATTTTAAGCACGAAAGCTAGTCAGTGCTCGCCCACACACTCACGTTTATCAACATACACTTGCCTGCCAAACAAATTTCTCAGAGCAGAATCACATAGAATCACAGAAGCTTCACCGCACCGCACCCACCCACATAGCTGCTGAGGACTTATGCTGAGCTGTGTCTATGGCGAGGACAGCTAACCAGCCCCCAGCCACATACCAGACCCACACCATGACCCACCCATCGTCACACACCCACCTTGTAGCTCAGGCTGCTGGGCTGTGATACTGGCACACGGAGGTGAGCCTAAGTTGACTAACTAGCGGCCAGCTCGCGGCCATATACCCCGCCCACACCGTCACCCACCTACCGTCTCACACCACGCCATTACACACCCACCACACTGTCACCCACCCACCCTGTAGCTCAGGCTACTGGGCTCCGATGCAGGCACAAGGAGCTGCTCTGGCTCCTCCTGCCCGCCAACACATGCTACACCCACACTTTTATCCCCCCGCCACACCCAGTGCACCCAGCGCACCCAGCACAGTACTCAACTCACCCTGTAGCTCAGGCTACTGGGCTCCGATGCAGGCACAAGGAGCTGCTCTGGCCCCTCCTGCCAGCCAACGCTGCTGCTTGGACGCGGGACAGACTGGCTGGCTGAAGGTAGGAGGATCTGAGAGGGGGGGCGAATCTGTGAGCGGGACGGGGAGGTGAAGCCAGCACGAAATAAGGAGACTGGGAATGCTTGGGACGTCACTAAAGGAATGGCTGGCTGTAGGCAGGAGGATCTGAGAAGGGGCTCGAATCTGAGAGCAGGGCGGCGGGGCAATGTTTGGGATGTCTCTAGAAGAACGGGTGACTGAACCACGGACAGCTGGAACCAGTTCTTGTGCACGAATCACGCAGAACCTGCAATGACGGACTGGTTTGAGCAGGAGGGACTCACTGGAACGAGGTCGTATTTGATCCCTTGCCGCTGCAGCATCTGCAGCGGATCTGGCGGCCCCCCATTAAAGTCTACGTCCCCTTCTTCCTCCTCCATTTCAGACACACGAACATTTTCCCGCAGTTTGGATCTCGGTGCGAGCTGCACGACCACCAGCGCTGCGACTGCAGCCCAGACGAGCAGCCATACGAGGCGAGAGCCGGTCAGCGCCGGCAGCGGTACTGATTGACGCATCTGGAAGGAGAGGAGGACGGGAGTGCTGTGATTAGCGCCGGAACCACTTTTGAGACATCTCAACAACCGGTCAGCGCCGGCAGTGGTAATGATTGGCGCATTTGGACGGAGAGGAGGACGGGAATGCCGTGATTAGCACCGGAACTGCTGCGCGCATGAAATGGCAGAAGTTGCTATAGCCTTGAGTGCTGGGTTTTTTTTAGAATTCTCAAAAACTCCCTGAAATGGCAGAAGTTGCTATAGCCTTGAGTGATGGTAGCAGTGGGTGACGCATCGAAACAAGAATCGAACACAAGTGGAGACGGTAGGAAAATGTAAGGAGCAGACTCGACAGGTGGCGAAGATAGCGGACTGTAACGTTCCCTAGCGACCGGATCAGTTTGCAGGTAGGCTGGTATGTTGTGTCTTTAGCAGGACTGGCCTGTAGTGCACTGGATGTTAATTTCAGCCAGTACGTCTGCACAGAATGTTGAACTCGGCCGGGTGACCAATTCGATCGGTGGTCAGTACAATGGATGTTGAAATCTGTCAGTCTATCATGCTCGACAGCGATCAACAGTGATGCAGCGAGGAGTGAGAGAAATACTCTTGAGGAAATCATGTGCTTCCGCTGCTTCAACGCGCGAGAACGTGGCGACATGGACGACCCTTAGCTCGCGATTCGAGGGAGCTTCATCTCGACGACGTGAAAGAAAAGAACCATGTGAACACACATCCGTTCGCTCGAGGCACTAGGTGGCGAGTTACAAACCAGTGCCTGAATGCAGGCAGTTACCGTCTTCTTCGCGGGCGAATCTCAACGGAGCGCATGCGCTGTTGTGCTATCGTCGAACAGGACGTTGATGCTGTCTCATCATTTACTAGGCACGCCAGCTAAACACGAATGAAAGCAAATCACAATTCAGGAACTGGCCTGCAAATGATCAGCTTCAAGAGCGAAACACTAGGGGAATGTCGAAACCCAAGCTGGTAACCGGTTCGTCAACACCCAACCTTCGTGTAACCAGTTTTGCGAACAAATCAACTCTCCAGTTTTGGGAACATCCTCGCGGGAAGGCCGAACCTTGGGAACTAACGACGGAGACCACCTGAAGTGATTGCAGAGAGCGACATCTGAAGAGATGTGACACAATCCGAAATTGTAAAGGGTCTGCATTAAAAAACTACATATCCCATCCAGCAGCCTGGTACACCGCAGAATGACAACAGTAAATCATTATCATTTGACATTCGTCTGCGTTCGTTTCTGTTGAAATTGCCGCCTGGCAACCCACAGCATAGCGTCACTATCAGATGCGGCAGTCCCAAGAGTCACGGTCAATCCTGCTTGCTCGTGCTGTTGTCGCTGTCATTGCCCGTGGTTACGGCGGTCACACCCAAGTCAGTCTTGACCAGATGTACCCAAGTCCGTGACAGACGCTATTTCCTTTGATGCTACTGCCAAAAAGGTAGTGTCGTAATAGTTCGGCTGATGTATCGATCGTACAACCTCGTGCTAGTTGCTTGACTTAGAAGCCTTAGCGGGACCTGACTTTAGCCAGCTGTAGGTTTCATCCTCACGCAACAACTCTGCGTTTCCATTGTCACCTCTGGTAGTGTCAAGCGTCAGCCCTACGTGCGAGCATCAGCTTTACGGGCGAGCGTCTGCCATACTCCTGCCGCAACCGCTCGATTCCAGTCCCTTCCTGTTCACGATCAAGCATCCCTGCAGCCATTGCCGCTCTCTCGAGCAGAGCGGACGATGGGCTCTCGGACCAAGTGGGATCCGTTCGTTGACGGCATTCTCGAGGTACGATTTGGTTTGAGGGGCGTGGTTTGAGAGGCTCGTTAGGGCGTGGTAGAAGCGGAATGAGAGTCACGAACATCCGTGTGAGACATCCCGGAACCGAAGTGTACCGCGCTGTAACGCTATGAGAACGCCCGCACCGGACTGCAGCGCTGAACGACGTGCCAGGAGCTTGTGTTGTATATCACTCGCACCACGCTTTTTAATGTGTACTTAACGACACGCTGTTGATCTCACGGTGCCTTTGCGACGCGTGCGTGCGAGCGGTGGAGTGGCTTATGTCGTGGTGCCAAGCGTCAGGAGGTTACGTTGCATGTCACTCGTACCACGTCCTTAGTCGTGTATTCTTCAAATGATCTGAAGGTGCCTTGCAACGCGTGGGAGCGAGCGGTGAAATGGCGGTGAAAAAACTCTACGAACGAGTCGCCAACCTGTGATCTAGTTCGTGTGCGTGTGTGTGTACGTGCGTGCGTGTATGCGTGTGTACGTGCGTGCGTGTGTACATGTGTGCATGTGTGCGTGTGCGTGTGGGTGCACGTGTGTGCGTTACATGCTTGGCGCCATCTCCCATGCAGATTCGAGTGCGTAACTGGCTGGAGGCAGTGCTGAAAGAGAAGCTACCGCCTGATACCGCCCTGGCTGATATCCTAGCAGACGGCATGATCCTGTGAGTGCCTTCCCATTGCTGTTTGTTTGTCCTCCCGATCAGCTACTTTATATCTAAAATTTCCTATTATTACCAGTAAACCAGACTTCCTATTTTCATCCTACAATTAAGGCCCTTTTCTTTTCTTTAATTTTCTTTAAACTCATGCCCCTCCGCTTGGCCCTCCACTCTGCCCTCTGCCACCAGGTCACGCCTGACTGACATCCTCTCGCCGTACGCACCAAAGGGCGCTGGGATCAACCAACGGCAGCAGCAGCAGCAGCAACAGCAGCAACAGGGGTGGGGCACGAAGATTAAGTGGGACGCAATGACATTCACTGATAACTTTCTCACGGTACCTCCTTGCCTGCCTCCTCCCATTGCGTCTTGAGACGTCTCCATATGGTGTTTTAAGCCGTCTTAAACACAAACGGGATGCCATGACTCTCCCTGATAAACTTCCTCGCGGTACCTTCCCTCCTCGCTGCTCTCATTACTTGTCACAATAGCCGCAGCCATTGTTACTGCTCCGCATTCCAACCCCTCTCCCTACCCCCTCAAAATTGGTTCAAGCACTCAACTGCCATGCCACCTATGCAGGTGTGCTTGTGCCACTTTTGGGACTTCTCAATAGTGACACAAGCTGCGCTGCCCTCAACTACCATGCCAGCAGGGTGCAGGGTGCAGCTGTGCTGTGCAGGGTGTTCGGGCTGAGCGCCATCTACCTGTTGGCACGACCTCAGCCAATCCCAGTGCTCAGAATCCTTCCCCCCTCCCCACCACGTTATCTGCACCCGCCATTGTCAGATGTGCAAGGCGTTTGGGCTGAGCGCCATTGACCTGTTCACATCAACGGATGTGGTGGAGAAGAAGGGCACCAAACGCGTCTGTGTCTGCATCCGCGCCCTCGCTCTCAAGCTCAGAGCAGCCGGCATACTGGTGAGCCGCTTTTGTTTATCCCTTTTTTGCTCATGAACTCCGACCCAGCCAGCATCTGAGTTGATTCAAATCAAACCCTTACCTGAACCGTCCATTTCCATAACCCTACCCTTTGTCAGCCCATAGGCTTTGAGCCGGCATCTAAGTCGAATATTAACCTCCTTACCCTCAACCTTCATCTGGCTGTAGACGTATGAGCCGGCATCTGAGTCGACCCAAAACTTGCCCTCAAACTTCCTCCCCCCCACCACCCCCCGCCACTCGTCACCAATCCAGGCGATAGACTTTGAGCCGGCGTGTGCAGCGGCAGCAGTGAGTGTGGCGAAGCGCATGCCAGCAGAGGGCGGCGTGGTGGACCGGGCAGTGAGGGAGTTCATGGGCCCCAACTACAGGCGCGGGTGGGGTAGGGAGAACGTGCCTGCCAGCCAATCAGGCTCGGAAAACAGCTTCGATATCACTGGTTGGGGCGGCGCTGCAGCTAGCGCTGCTGCTGATGGTGGCAATGGAGGTGTTAATGGTGGCAGTAGCATCGGTGGTGGTGGTGGCGATAGTGGTGGTGGTGCTGCTGCTGGTAGCAAGGCAGGGAGCCAAGAAGGGAAGGAGATGGAGCATGCGAAGGGCAGAGGAAAGGTGTCAAGCCTCATCAGCAAAGGCTTTAGCTCTGTCTCGAACGAAGCGGATTTAAAAGCAAAGAGCGTTTCAGATGTTCCTCCTGTCTCAAGACTGGACCCTCACATGGTTTGGCCGCCCCCCTCCGACCGCCTGTCAGCATCAGCGGAAGCAGCAGGGAGCTTCTATACCAGCCTGGATGCTTCTCACGCCAGTCTGGACGCTTCTCGTGATCAGTCGCTCGATGCGGTTACCACGTCAGCTGGAACAACCTCCTCGCTCACTGACGTGTCTGCAGGTGTTACAACAGTTTGTCATACGGAAGGGGAAGAGGATTTGGAGTCGGATTTTTCATCCTGCCCGTCTTCGCCGCGGGGAGCGGCACATGCCCCGTGGAGAGCTATTGTTGGAGGGGCGATAGCGTTTGTGGCTGTGATGCTGTTGTTCCGACCATCCAGGTGAGTAATCATGTGTCTCTGGTTATGCTGTCTTACAATTTTACTAGTAATTGATACTGCACTACCAACACTTCTCTTGCTCTCTGTGCATCATGCCTTATTCTGCTTGCTCCATTTGTTCTCTTTTGTGCTGTTGCAGGAAAAAGTACCAAATAAAGAAAGGAGACACTCTGATAAACATTTCAAAGCAGGTTGGGAAGCGGAATTGGAAGGAGATCGCGGAACTCAACCCGGACATTGACAACCCTGACCTAATCTTCCCTAATGAATATGTTGTTGTAGACTAGATTATAGTGTGCTATCCAGGCACAGTGCACGTAAGTGTGAAGAAGGAAATCCCTTTGATATGTATTTGTAGCTGCTATTATTATGTTTGTAGTTGCTTGATGGCTTATGGGACTTGTGTATTGAGTCTGGTGTTGTACCGGTAATGTAAGGACTTCATGCTCAACGTGGCATGTCTTCTTCTTAAATATAGGTCTTTTGTTTCTTCACCGGAACACACAATGTCGCGTACAATGTGACCCCCTTCACTTCCTTGCTCCAGCGTTTCCTCTCACAAATTCCAAACCGATTTTGCAACCATGACTTCTCCAGGTCCGCTTACGCGATTCTACGTTAGAAGACACGTCTTTCTCTCAACCAGCTTCACGCTTCTCGTGCTCGTCGCGCTTTTCGTCACTCTGGTTGCTCTGTTCCACTCGAACTTCAAATTGGGAAACCACGTTAATTTAAATCCGAACGTCTCATTCGCGAACCACGTTCCCGCTTCCTCGAGTGCTCAGACCGCCTCACTGGTAACGCCCACTGCGAATTATACAGATACGGCGCGTGCGGACCATTGGGCTGATCAGGCGATCCTGACCGTCAATGGAGCGGCTCGAGGTCGTCCGATTTCGCCTACCTTCTTCGGCATTTTTCTAGAGGTGGCCGCTTCACGTATTTGCATGATTTTATGTTTTAATAACAGGCAACCGTGTGCATGCATACGTGCGTATCATTCTGTGCGTGTGTGTGTGCGCGCGCGCATGTGTGTGTCTGCGCTCACGTGCGCATGTGTATGTGCGCGTATGTGCGCAGGAGATCAACCACGGGGGAGCGGGAGGGCTGTACGCGGAGCTGGTGCAAAATCGAGGCAAGCGGGGGCAGGCGGGGGAGAGTGGGGGAGAGGGGAAAGGCGGAAAGACAGCAAGGGGAGGAGGGAAGAGGGAAGGAGGACAGGGAGGAAAGACGTCAGGGGAAAAGAGGGTAAAGGGGAATAGGGGCAGAGGGGAGTGAGGCAGAGAGAAATACGGGGAAGGAGGGTTTGGAAGGGGGGAGGAGAATGGGGGCAAGGGGAATAAATGAGAAAGGAGGAAAGGGAACGAAGCGGAATAAACATCTCCGCTATACCCGTTCGCCCACGAACCCATACCCTCGTATACAATCCAAGTGCTGCTGCGACACCCACCATCTCCCATTCCCTCCCGCACTCCCATCCGTATGCTGACTGCAGGATTCGAAGCAGGCGGCCAGGAGACGCCCTCCACAGTGCAACCATGGCTGCCCATTGGGTCAGTCAGTCAGAGCCCCACCCACGTTCAGCTGAGCACGGAGCGCTGCTCGCCCTTCCCCCACACATCGCCCTTTTTTCCTCTTGCCTTCTCTCCTAAATTACTGCAGGGTTTGAGGCAGGCGGGCAGGAGACGCCCTCCACTATTCATCCATGGGTGCCCATCGACTCTGAGCCGCACGTGCAGCTGAGCACAGAGCGCAACTCGCCCTTTCCCTACACAGCTCCTTTTACCCTCCCTCACAAACCCCTCTCCCTTTACTTCCAAATCACTCCAGGCTTCGAGGCAGGCGGGCAGGAAACCCCCTCCACGGTCCAGCCATGGCTGCCCGTCGGCTCTGAGCCGCACGTGTTGCTGAGCACGGAGCGATGCTCGCCCTTCCCCCATGCGATCCCTTCTCGTCCCTTGTGAATAACCACAGGTTTTGAGGCAGGCGGCCAGGAGACCCCCTCCACGATCCAGCCATGGCTGCCCATTGGCTCCGAGCCCCACGTCACGTGCTGCTGCGCACAGAGCGCTGCTCGCCCTTCCCCCACACAGCTCTCTTCCCTTTCCTTGCCCTCTCTCCCAAATCACTGCAGGCTTCGAGGCGGGCGGCCAAGAAACCCCCTCCACGATCCACCCATGGCTGCCCAAACTCGGGTCAGGTCCCCACGTGCAGCTGAGCACGGCGCGCAGCTCGCCCTTTCCCTACACAACTCCTTTTACCCTCCCTCACAAACCCCTTCCCTTTACTTCCAAATCACTCCAGGCTTCGAGGCGGGCGGGCAGGAAACCCCCTCCACGATCCACCCATGGCTGCCGATCGGCTCCGAGCCACACGTGCTGCTGCGCACGGAGCGCTGCTCGCCCTTCCCCCACACAGCTCCCTTCCTTTCCCCCCTCACAATTTGCTGCAGGCTTCGAGGCGGGCGGCCAAGAGACCCCCTCCACGGTCCACCCATGGCTGCCCATCGGGTCCGAGCCCCACGTGCTGCTGCACACGGAGCGCTGCTCGCCCTTCCCGCGCAACCCCATCGCCCTGCGCATCGACATCCTTTGTGCTCCACCGCCATCCCCTCAAGCAATCAGAGCCGTGGCTCAAGCACCGAGCGCGGTCGAGCAGCACTTGGGGAGTCTCCCCTTGCAACGAGAGGAGAGCCACCGTGAGCAGGCTGTGCGCTCAGAGCGACCCCTGGGACGGGGGGCAGCTGTCCGCCGGCTCTCTGCTGCACGTGGGCTGACCCAAGGGGAGGGAGTGCACGGGCGTGTGGTGGAATCCCCTCCTTCGCCTGGGGGTGCTGCTGGGGTGGGCGTGTGGGCGGCTGTGAGGCAGTGGCTAGGGGGTTGGCTGGGGGTGAGCCTGGCAGATGGAGATTCCCGGGGAGAACCTGCAGGGCGTTACGCTGGTGGTGATGGGAGAGGGGTTGTGCGTGTTGCTGTGAGGCAGTGGCTGGGCGCGCTGCTGGGGCTGAGGCTGGCAGATGGAGAGTCACTGGGAGAACCGGCAGGGCGTTACGCTGGTGGTGGTGGTAACAGGGCGGAGGGACACGGAGAGGAGTGGGAGGATGCAAGGGGAGGAGAGGAGCGAGAGGAGGGAGGGGAAGGAGAGGAGTGGTGGGTGTGTGAAGATGGAGTGGGGGTGCTGAATCCCGGCTACTGGGGCATGGTGAGAAAATTTGAGGGTCGCTGGCGTGGCATGGCATGTACCTAAACCCTGGCTGAATCCCTAAATTTGAGGGTGTGTGAAGATGGAGTGAGGGTGCTGAATCCCTAAACCCTGGTATGGCATGTACCTACCCACCTTTACTGATGCCACATGTCGTGATGCCATGCCACATGTCGCAATGCCATGCCACATGTCGCGATGCCATGCCACATGTCGTGATGCCATTCCATGTGCCGTGATGCCACCAGATCCTTGTTTGTGGATGCAACTTTATTCCCCATTTTTCCCTTTCCCCAATGATCTCTCACTCATCAGTACTGTCGCCCTTCTCCCCATCCCTATCCCATGCCCCACCACCCATGCCCCACCACGCCATCATCCCATCTCCCCATCAGAACATAGTGCAAGGCCGTGCACACAACATCATCCTGCATGCGCGTGCCACGGCCCCCCTCTCCCTCCGCCTCTCCTTCCTCTGCTCGCCCACCCTCCCTCCCCCTCGCCCCCTCTCTTCCGTCGTCACCGTTGGGTCAGCCCATATCAGGTACGCTGCTTTCAGGTCCAGTCGTCTCGAACTCAATCCCTCTCCTTTTCCCACTCTCTTCCGTCCCCACCATTGGCTCAACCAATATCAGCCCCTCTGCATGCTAAGCCAGCCCAAGTTTGGAGACGCCTCAGAGCTCCCCTCCCTCCCTCCCTTCAGTTCCCTCCGCTGGCTTAGCCCATATTCGGTATGCTACTATCACGTCCTGTCCACATCATCATCATCATCAGCCCTCATTCTCACCACAGCGCAGACTTGGAGCTTGAATTCCTTTTGCGCTTTGAGGAAAAACACCACGCCACGCTACGACACAACATCATCCTGCACGCGCATGCCACGGCCCCCCTCTCCCTCCGCCTCTCCTTCCTCTGCTCGCCTGCCCTCCTGCCCCCTCGCCCCCTCTCCTCAGTCCTTTCCATTGGGTCAGCCCATATCAGGTGCCCTTTCAGCTCCCCTCCGCATCACTCCCCAATCTTACCACAATGCACACACTGGTGTGAAATGGCTTTCTATCTCCTGATGAGCAACTCTCACCACGATGCAGAAAGAAACTACTGAAAGAAACTGTGGATGGAACATTAACACCACTGAAGCAACGCATGCCCTGCCATGACCCTCCATGCATGCACCACATTCCTGACCCAATTTTTCCTCCCCCCCTCCCCACGCACCCTTCCATTTGCCCCTATTCACTTCTCTCCCTTTGATGCTTGCTTCCAGCCTCAACCAATCCATGGCTGCCACGTGGCACCGCTATGAGGCCACCATCACTGCCACCGGCACGTGCCACAACGCCTCGCTGGCCATCACCACTGGCAGCATGACACGTGGCACTCTGTGGTTGGACCAGATTTCAGCCATGCCTGCTGAGACATTCAAGGTGAGTCTAATGCAGACTCGGCCATGCTTCTGAAGGATTGACATTGCATGCAGCACATCTGAGGGTTCTTAAAATAGGCATGGGGCATGGGGCATGGGGCACGGGGCACGGGGCACGGGGCACGGGGCACGGGGCATGGGGCATGGGGCATGGGGCATGGGGCATGGGGCATGGGGCATGGGGCATGGGGCATGGCTTGAAAACCACTCCCCCAGCTTCATGTGTTACCCAGGTACTGCTACATGGAGGGAGTGCGACTGGCTGCTTGGAGGGAGCCAATGCCAACACCCATGCTCCCATGCACCTTTGCATCCCGTGTCCCACCCACAGGGTCACGGCATGCGGGCAGACATAGCAGCCGTGCTTGACAACCTCACCCCCCGCTTCATGCGCTTCCCCGGCGGATGCTACGTGGAGGGTGTGAGACTGGCCATTGCCATGCGCCCATGCACCCATGTTCCAACCCTCCACCCACAGGGTCACGGCATGCGCACGGACATAGCGACTATGCTTGAGGAGCTCTCCCCCGGCTTCATGCGCTTCCCAGGCGGCTGCTACGTGGAGGGGGTGCGGCTGGCTGCTTGGAGGGGCCCAACCCATTGCCGTGTTCAATGCTCCCCATGCGCAACTCGTGTTTCACTCACAGGGTCACGGCATGCGCACGGACATAGCAGCCATGCTTGAGAGCCTTTCTCCCGGATTCATGCGCTTCCCTGGCGGCTGCTACGTGGAGGGCGTGTGGCTGTGTTTTATGCTGCTCAATGCCGTGCGCCCATGCACCCATGTTCCACCCACAGGGTCACGGCATGCGGGCAGACATAGCAGCCATGCTTGAAGGTCTCTCCCCCGGATTCATGCGCTTCCCCGGCGGCTGCTATGTGGAGGGCGTGCGTCTCGCCAACGCCTTCCGCTGGCGCTCCACCATCGGCCCTTGGGAACTTCGCGCGGGCCACTTCAACGACAGGTGGGTGGGTATCGCGGTCACATCACCTGCGCGTGACAGGGAGGGGGGCGGTTTCCATGCCTTGGAATGTCCAATAGCCTGCCCAAAGCTTTTGATCGCTGGCGCTCCACCATCGGCCCTTGGGAACTTCGCGCGGGCCACTTCAACGACAGGTGGGTGTCATTGCTGGCTGTTCTCATCAGGCAGCATTTGCAGACCAGTGAGTATTTGCTCATGGGGGCTGTGAGTCGTCCCACAAGTCTCCACCCAATTCTCATGCTTACCCCATCCTCACCTGCACACCACTGGGTGTGGGTATTGGTCAGACGACGGGTTGGGTTTATGAGGGGGTTCTCAGGTGCGCCTATTGATGACGTTGAGTCGACTCGCAAGTCCCCACCCATTCATAAACTTAACCTCATTCCGACCCCCATACACACATTCCCGCCCCTGCATACCCACCAGGTGGGGGTATTGGTCGGACGACGGGTTGGGGTTCTTTGAGTATCTTCAGTTTGCGGAGGACCTTGGCGCCACACCCATCTGGGTGTTCAACAGCGGTGAGATTGGGTTGGTGGGTGTTCAACAGCGGTGAGATTGGGTTGGTGGGTGTTCAACAGCGGTGAGATTGGGTTGGTGGGTGTTCAACAGCGGTGAGATTGGGTTGGTGGGTGTTCAACAGCGGTGAGATTGGGTTGGTGGGTGTTCAACAGCGGTGAGATTGGGTTGGTGGGTGTTCAACAGCGGTGAGATTGGGTTGGTGGGTGTTCAACAGCGGTGAGATTGGGTTGGTGGGTGTTCAACAGCGGTGAGGCTGGGTGGGAGGCTGTGCAATAACGGTGAGGCTGGGTGGGAGGCTATTCAATAGTGGTGAGAGGGGGTGGGTGGCTGTTCAATAGCGGCGAGCCTGGGTGGTTGAGTGTTCAACAGCGGTAATCACATTTGGCTTGACCCTACAGCATGCACGTAACCTCCCTGCCTGCATTGGTGCCCCCTCCTCTCGCATGCGCTCCCATGCAGGCAACAGCCACACAGACAGCGTGCACACAGGCGTCCTCGCTCCCTTCATTCAGGTCACCCCATTCGCACCTCCCTCCTTCCCACCTCTCCCTCTTCAATGCCCCATCATGCACCCATGCCGTGCCATGCAGGCAACAGCCACACGGACAGTGTCTACACAGGCGCCCTCGCTCCCTTCATTCAGGTCAGCTGTACTCCTCTTTTCCACCTCTCCTGCTTCTTTGGACGTTTCTCGTTCTCACCTTGGGTATGGCAGTGTGGGGATGGGTGAGGGGAAGGGGTAGGAAAGCACATGGAATTTTACAGTTATGCCTGCTTTGAGAATCGTGTTGGATTGCTCCCACGCTCACACGCCCCTCACCCTTCATCCTCTGTGTTGGTCTCTGCCACGTGGCGCCACAGGAGGTGCTTGATGGAATCGAGTTCGCACGAGGGCCGTCGGATTCATGGTGGGGAGCGGAGAGGGCGGCCATGGGCCATCCTGAGCCGTTTGATCTGCGGCACGTGGGCATTGGGAATGAGAACTGCTACCAGGACAACTACCGAGGTCTGACAGTTTGCATAATGAGGTGAATTAGAGCAACAAGGGGAAGAAATGGTGGGATGCTGTGATCTGATGTGAATGAATGGCACGTGCGCATCGGGAATGAGAACTGCTAACAAGAGGAATGCCGAGGTGAAGGAGTGGTGCATGGTGGATAATGAGGTGTTTTTAGTGGTGAAGGCAAAAGCTGCACTCTTGCGTCCCTTCCTCCTCTTGCATTGTGCCCCATGTCTCAAGTCCATACTGTCATTCCGAAAAAATCGAGTCATAGAAAATCTCTCTCTCTCACGCACCACACCTGCTCGCTCTTGCCACCTTCCAGGCAACTTCCTTCGGTTCCGGGCGGCGATCAAGGTGGCATATCCAGACATGGCAGTGGTGTACACGTGTGACGTCAGCAAGGGGCCTCCAGACCACCCTCCCACGGACCTTTATGACTTCCATGTGCGTGGTTCTGTACGGTGCTATGAGATGCGATGCGATGCAGTGCTTTGCTGTGTTCTGCTGTGTGGTGTTGTGCGGTGCAGTGCCGTGCAATGAGGCGCTGTGTGGTGCGGTGCCGCTTGTGGTTACCACATGGTAGCATGTTCCAAACCTCTTATTCGTTTCAGACATTGCACTCCCCGAGCTGACACTTCCCTTGCTTCTGATCAGAAGGCACGGAACACATTGTTCATCCCTTAGAGGCACACCTTAAGGATTCATCTGTTGATTTGCGTGCATGCACCCCTACTTCCCCCGCTCGCATGATCACCTCTCGCTCGCAGTCCTACGGCACAGCAGAGGGAATCTTTAGCTTGGGTCATTACTTTGATGACATCAGCAGAGACGGTCCCAAGGTGACGTGGCGTGCAGAGACGCGTGTAAGGTGACATCGTATGTTTGTGTGGTCTTTGGTGCCGTGAATGCTTCAGTTCCGTCTCGCCTCTCTCTGCTCTAGCCTCTTTCCTCTCTCATCACCCCTCTCCTCTCTCCCCTCACCTCTCCCGTTCTCACTCCATCACCTCACCGCTTCGCTCAGCAGGCCTTTCTGAGTGAGTTCGCAGTGCAAGGGGGGGGAGGGGACGGCAACGTGCGAGCAGCAGTGGCAGAGGCGGGGTTTCTCATCGGTCTGGAGAGGAACAGGTGGGCGTTCCTCAGTAGTCACCTGAAGGCATGGCACTTGGATGTTGCTCACTCACATGGCAAGGGGGGCCGGAGGGGACGGCAACGTGCGAGCAGCAGTGGCAGAGGCGGGGTTTCTCATCGGGCAGGAGAGAAACAGGTGGGCGTTCCCCCTTGGTCACGTGTGAAGGTTTGACTAGACTTCACTTGACTTGACTTGATTTGACTTGACTTGGCTTGACTACGGCGTACCTCCTGATGCGCTACTCCTCACACACCCCTTTTCCCCCAACGCTTGACTTGACTTGACTTGACTTGACCACTGCACACCCATCCACACCCCCCTGTCTCCCACTTTGCAGTGACGTGGTGGCAATGGTCAGCTACGCGCCTCTGCTGGTCAACGTGCATGACAGGAGGTGAGAGAGAGGAGGTGAGAGAGAGGAGGTGAGAGAGAGGAGGTGAGAGGAGGTGAGAGAGAGGAGGTGAGAGAGAGGAGGTGAGAGGAGGTGAGAGAGAGGAGGTGAGAGGAGGTGAGAGACAGGAGGTGAGGGAGAAGAGGTGTGAGAGGTGAGAGGAGGTGGGAGGAGGTGAGAGGGAGGTGAGAGGAAGGGAGTTGAGAGGAAGTGAGGAGTTGAGAGGAAGTGGAGGAGTTGCGAGGAAGTGGGAGGAGTTGAGAGGAAGTGGGAGGAGTTGAGAGGAAGTGGGAGGAGTTGAGAGGAAGTGGGAGGCGTTGCGGAAGTGGGAGGAGTTGCGCGGCCGTGGGCGGCGTTGAGAGGAAGTGGAGGCGTTGAGGCTGAAAGAGCGCCGTTTTCTATGGGAGCTTCGACCTCAATGCGTTTGATGCTTTACGCCCATCGCCTCCCATCGTTATTAGTAACACCCTTCCTTCCAATTCCTCCTCTAATTGCTCCCGTCCCCCATGCATCCCCAGCTGGTCGCCTGACCTCATTGCTTTCGACGCGCATCGCCCGTATGGCATCCCAACTGATCCCTGCACCGCATGTTTCAACACTCAAACTCACCCCTGGTCCCTGTATCTGTTTCCCCCTGTGTGACCTGCAATAATCCCCCAGCTGGACACCTGATCTCATAACCTTTGACTCCCACCGACTCTACGGCATGCCCAGCTACTGGCTGCACCGCATGTTCCAACGCTTGAACTCACGCCCCGGCCCCTGTCTCTGCTCTTGCTTCCTGCCATTCACCCCCATGCATCATCAGTTGGACGCCTGACCTCATAGCCTTCGATTCTCACCGTCTCTACGGCACTCCCAGCTGCTGGCTTCATCGCATGTTCCAACGCTCCAACTCACCCCCCCGGTCCCTGTCTCTGCTCTTGCTTCCTGCCATTCACCCCCATGCATCATCAGTTGGACGCCTGACTCCCATCGCCTCTACGGCACGCCCAGCTACTGGCTTCACAGCATGTTCCAACGCTCCAAGGGAGGCTTGCTGCTGCCTCTGTTCTTTATTCCGACCATGCAACCCCCCTCATGTCCCCCCACTCCCCCTCTCCCCAGCTGGACGCCCGACCTCATTGCTTTCGACTCGCATCGTCTCTACGGCACGCCAAGCTACTGGCTTCACCGCATGTTCCAACGCTCCAAGGGAGGCGAGCTGCTGCCCTCCCGCCTCTCTCCCTCCTCCTCCTCCTCCTCCTCCTCCTCCTCCTCCTCCTCCTCCTCCTCCTCCTCCTCCTCCTCCTCCTCCTCCTCCTCCTCCTCCTCCTCCTCCTCCTCCTCCCCTCCAGATTCAAATGCTGAGGGTGATGGTGGTGGTGCGCGCATCGCTAGGGGAGGGGATGTGCGCATTGGAAGCCGCTTTGAAGCATCAGCTGTGCGGATCAGAAGAAGCAGCAACCCAGCCTTGTCAGCAATTCTAGTGAAGGTTTGCCTCTCTTGCTCACCGTTTGTTCCACCCACACATGCCCCACCCACACATGCCCCACCCACACATGCCCCACCCACACATGCCCCACCCACACATGCCCCATCCACACATGCCCCACCCACACATGCCCCATCCACACATGCCCCATCCACACATGCCCCATCCACACATGCCCCATCCACACATGCCCCATTCATACATGCCCCACATACCCCATTCAAACATGCCCCACACATCCCTCCTACCCCATTCTCCACATGCTCTATCCACACATGCACCCTAGACCCCACTCACCCACCCCAGGCAGCCAACTTCCAGCCATCCGCAGTGACCCTATGTGTGGACCTGCAGGGCACAGCTGTCTCAGGCCCAGTGCTGCTCACTCGCTGCTCTTCATGCCCCATCCTATGCACCCCAACCCACTCACCCACTCAACCCCCCCAGGCAGCCAACTTCCAGCCATCCGCAGTGACCCTATGTGTGGACCTGCAGGGCACAGCTGTCTCAGGCCCAGTGCTGCTCACTCGCTGCTCTTCATGCCCCATCCTATGCACCCCAACCCACTCACCCACTCAACCCCCCCAGGCAGCCAACTTCCAGCCATCCGCAGTGACCCTATGTGTGGACCTGCAGGGCACAGCTGTCTCAGGCCCAGTGCTGCTCACTCGCTGCTCTTCATGCCCCATCCTATGCACCCCAACCCACTCACCCACTCAACCCCCCCAGGCAGCCAACTTCCAGCCATCCGCAGTGACCCTACGAGTGGACCTGCAGGGAGCAGCTGTCTCAGCTGTCTCGGGCGCAGTGCTGCTCACTCGCCTCTCCAGCCCCTCAGGGAACCCTGACGACGAAAACTCACTCAACTACCCAGTTAAGGTCCGTGCCATTTCTTATGAAGTTTTCTGTTTTTTTTTTTCTTTCTTTCTTTCTTTTACTCGAAAATACCGTCATATTGCGAAGGGAAGATTCAGTATTGGGAAGATTCAGTATTCGTCACTTGCCCTGTGGAGGTCATGTTTAAATCCTTTGGTAACATTGTCAACATCCGTGGTCATCGTGGCACCATCTCCTGTAGTACCTGCGTTTTTTACAAGGGACTGCCACCCTTGTCGATCTGAATAGCTAGCCTTTGTGATGCTGTAAGAACCTGATGTTTCCAGCACGTCTCATTCACCTGTTGTATGGTATTGCTAGCTGTCTCTGGTATGTTACTGTTTGGTTCCCATCTCACTAAACCATTTGGCTCCACATCCCTCTTGCCCCCCCACCCACCCAGGTTTTTCCCATTCTGGATGTCCAGAATTCTACCGCACTAACATTTTCGGTACAGCCGATGTCAGCGGTTACCGTTGAGATCCCTATTATGGACCTCTAGTCAGATCTTATGCTGTATTGCTTAGGTTGGAAAGCTTTGCTAGATTGCATGTTTTTTAGGATGGAATCAGCAAACACATACAGTGAATCGCACCAGTGTATAGTATACAACATATGGCTTGCCTGATGTTGTATGCTCCTCTGCAGGAAGTGCCTAGCTAGACGGTACACTGGACTGTGTTGGCGTTGGCAGTCTTCGTGACCAATCAGAGGAGACTGTAAACTCTACAGTACGCTTCGTCCCCCAAAGCAAGTTTGCCTTCTCGAACTTGGCGCATTCCGTACAGTAACTAGATATGCTTGGCTGGGATTTGCCGAATCAGCGCACCGAGTCTTGCCAGCTATGTACGCGTGCATCTGATGGCTGGCCTACCGTGGAGCGTACCAACGGGGAAAGAGGCTGCTGACGTGCCAGCAGCATAAGGGCCATGGATTGTACAGTACACCGTCCAGGTCGAATCAAGGTTCGTTGAACATTTTATTGGGTGAGGGCATCGTATGTGCGCGGGTGGGAAGAATGGGATTGATTCTGGAAGGGTACCCTGTATGCATCCTGATACCGAGTGCCAAAGTGGCAGTGACCGAGCAAATGACTCCTGGAATGAAGGCGGTACAGAATTTGGAATAACGCACAATTCGTGGTATAGTACATGTAGCCCGCTAAACACCTCGTCCACCATAACGGCGTGTTGCAATTCGCGGTGCACTGCATCGGCTCGGCTCGTGGCACGGGTTTAGGAAGGCTCCAGGAAATCAAGGGGCCGTAAAATTTTACAGGAAACGTATAAAAACTTTATAATCATTCTTTTCAAAACTTGACAACCTTGGTAAATAACTCTCGTAATCAGTCTTCGATAATTTTGTATTTGCCGATCATTGCCCGAATTTGGCTCCCGCCTGCTTGGAGCCTTCCTTTCGTCCCGTGCCGACGCAGTGCATCGCAAATTGCAACACCCCGTAAAGTGCTGGTCCCGCGGCTAGGTGCTGTGTCGCCGTGTCCTTTGGATATGGGTGGAATAGTGGAATGGTGCTGCATCCATGGACGAACAATTGAGGTTCTTTAGCCGCTCTAGTGTGGAGTGGGTTTCCTGAATTCGAGAGCGCTAAAAGCCAGTGGCGCTTCCTAAAACTTACAAGCTGGTGGCTGCCAAATCTCAGGTTTTCGCCCCCACCAAACCACCAAATCTCGGGCATGGTTTTGTTTTGCAACCCCTCCATCCATCCATCCATCAATAGCAAAAGGCCACTGAAACCTTCACAAGCCTCATCATCCCCCAAAACAGAACTCAACCATTCTCTCGATCGAGTCCATTCTTCCACCGCCCTCACCCCACCGTGGCGGCGTGTTCATCCATCTCTCGATCCCCGGGGTGAGGTGGCATTCACGCCAGCCTCACCACCAGACACGAATCTGCGACCACCACCATCCACCCTCACAGTCAGTGGATGATGAGTAAAACAACCCACTACACAAGATGCCCAACCCCTGCACGCGAAATTGCCTCGCACGTTCCAGAAACCTTGCACACGAAGGTTTTTTCCCGGGCAGTTGCACCCACGTTACAAGCACGTCAACCAATACGAACCACAGAAACAGAAGAGACCGAAGTCAAACAGTCAACGGTGAGTTACAAAATTTTGCTATAAGCCCTTTTTGCCCGACGCGAATTGACGAAACCTCCACGAAATGCATGAATCACTTAAGCGCCCCCTTCACAAGGCAACCTTGGGTTAGTCAAACGGACATCGTGTGTACAAGCATTCGACCTAAATGTTAGCTTCATGACAAAATGGAGGAAATGAAATATTCATGGGTTACCTTTCTCCAACTTCCATTGTACCTTGTCCGACTTCCGATCCGTTTGGATCTCCACTGACACAGTATTCCTAGGTTCTCCTAGTCGGTTCAAGTTTCTGTCGCTGGGTCGTCGTCACCCTCGTCGTCAAGGCTCGAGTCGCATGGCCTGCGACCCACTGTCATCCGATAGAGGAGGCTGCGAGCTCTCGGACGTGCCGATGGCTCCTGCGACGGCCATTCCGCGCGATGTATGGACCGTCGTTCAGTCCGGTGTGGCGCCGCGCGACGTCGTCGTTGGGTCGCTGCACGATCGCAAACGGCGATCGCTTCAGTGCGACGGTCGCGCGTCGTTCAACCTCGCGAGTCGTGATCCTTCGCCCGCTCCGATGGACGCGTCGCGCGTCATCCACGCAGATACGTCTCGCGCCATTCACGCACGCACGGCCGCCGCAGGAACTAGGTCTCCGCCACGATCATTGTCTACGTTCACGCAGCCGCCATCGTCGCCGCCGCCGGCAGCGCTAGCTCTTAGAAGATCAGCTACAGGCGAAGCCAGAGATCTTGCCACCAAACCGTTTCCTCGAACCTTGACCACAACCTCCAATCCCGCGCCGCGGCCCCTTCTGGATCCAGACCGTATCGTGCTTGATAGTGACATGGCCCGTGCCACGTGTCCGTCATCGGCAGACTCGTTTCGTCAAGCGTGCGGCCACGATGTCCTTGCGAGAAACCCGCAATCGCAAGACTGGAGTGTGCCAGCTGGCAGATCGTTTCTCCCGCGCCTCGACCGGATTCACATAAGCCCCCCCGCGCCTTCCCCAGGTGTTGCCTTCCCCAATCACGACCTCCCCCGTCCCGCGCAACAACAAAAGTTAGGGTTATCCGCGTCCGCGCCGCACGGCTCTCTTCCGCTGAGACTGCAGTGCTCGTGGATGTGGGAGCAGCCGATTCCATCGAGTCAACCGAGTCAACCTAGAGAACCTGGTCAACGGGTCCAGCTGATTCAATCCACAGACGAACCGCCACCCGTGGTCTACTCGCCACAGGCAGGCCATGCCACATCGCCACTCCCCTCGCGCGCACCGGCGGCCTTGGCGCCTTCGTCGCAGCGCGGCTTGGAGCAGGCCGTGCACTCGCCCAAGAAGCCACGTGGCAGTCCCGAAGCGCTTGGGCGGCAGGCGTTGGCTCTTGCGGTCAGCGAACGGGAAGAGGAGATTTTCCAGAGGCGGCGCGAGCAGCGGCTGCGGATTCTGGGCGACTTGACACACGCGCTCGACGAACCGGCGGCGGCTTGCGCCGCTGCCGTTGCCGCGGGCCCCGACGGACAAAGCCCGCTGTTCGTTATCCGCCAGGGTCCGTTCAGTTGTCGCATAAGGAGTCGTGCTTGTAACGCGGAAAAGGCTAGTAGTAAGGGGGGTGTGACTGAAATGAGAGAAAAAGGATTAGTCGCGACAGGAGGGGGCGCGGTTGAGGGGGGCGACACAACCGCCGCCGGATTCGCACCGGGGGATGGGGCAGAGGCAGGCGCAAACGGCAGGGACGGCGGGGGTGTCGGGGTAGGAAGGCGGAGCGACGAGGAGCGCAATGGGGCTGGCGCATTGGCGGAGCCGCGAACTCGGGGGGCGACATTGGCGGTGGAACTCCGCTCGACGATGCGCGTGGAGGTTACTAGTCCGCACGCCGCCGCGCTCGCGTCGCTCGATGCGCGCAAGGCCCTCCCGTTTCTCGCTGCGCCATTTGCGCCGCTTCCGGCGGGCTGGAAGCAGCAGCGGCGCGTGCGAGCGCGCTCTGCCTTTGAAAGCCGTGACCTGATTGGCGGTGGGGCGGAAGGCTTCCCCAGCTCCCCAGGGCAGGCGGAGTTGATCGCGGAAGGCGCATTGCGCTCGCCCGCGCTAGCGCGGGAAGCTGCGGAATGCGGAAAGCGCGCGCAGAAGCGGCGGAATAGCAGCGAATGGGAGCTGTACGCGAGCCGGGAAGGGGCGCGCGGGGAATGGGGGCGCGGGGAAACGGGCGGGCCGGCGGACACCAGGCGCGGCGGAAGGAGTAGCAGGGGCGGAGATTCGAGCGTAGGGACTCGGCGGGATGGTACTGGTCCGGGGGTTGGGGGAGGGGAGGCGGAACGAGGAGGGCAGCACGAGGTGGAGTCGAGGGGAGGAGCGCGGGAAGAGAGGGAGAAGGAAGGAGCGAGGGAGGAGGAATGGGAATGGGGTCGAGCAGAGGAGAGGCGGGAAGAGGGACAGGGGACATTTGACATTTTGACCTGGGAACAGGGGCAGGGGCAGGGGCAGGGGCAGGGGCAGGGGCAGGGGCAGGGGCAGGAGGCGGAGATGCGATGGCAAACGATTGGCCCTCCTTGGTTAACGCCTGGGCACGCAGAGCAGCAGCAGCTAGAGCAGCACAAGGGGCAGGGGAGGGAGCAGCAGCAGTGGTGGCAGCAGGGGGGAGGAGTGCGGAAGCAGCGTGAGATGGAGGAGGGTCGAGTCGAGGGTGTGAGGGCACCGCTGGTCCCTTACCTGCGCTCCGCAAGCCAGTCACACCCATGCTCGCCGCTCATTCTGACTCCCTTCTCAGCCCCACACACGCATGATAGATTGGTGGTTGGAGCTGGTGGGAGTGGGGTTGTTGCTGCTGCTGCTGCTCCTGCTGCTGCCGCCCACCGCAGGGCAGCCAGCTCTGTGCCCATTCTGGGCGGCACACTGGCAGTGAACAGTGGTGGCCACATGGGCAGTGAGGGTGGAGGGGGTTTGTCTTCTTCTGGTGCGGCTGGGGTTGCTGCTAGGTTCCCCCTGTGGGTGCGGAACAGTGAAGCGGAATCGTATCTGCACTCTGCCGCCCAACCAATGCTGCTGGCTGATAGTATGGGGGAGTCATAAGGAGGGTTGTAGGAGCCGCACACACCAGATGGTGCAGTGCAGACTGCTCTGGTGGGAACGGTGGAGCGGAATCATATCTGCACTCCGCCGCCCAACCAGTGCTGCTGGCTGAGAGTATGGGGGAGTCATAAGGAGGGTTGTAGGAGCCGCAGACACCAAACGGTGCAGAGCGGGCTGCTCTGGAGCGGAACGGTGGAGCGGAATCGTATCTGCACTCCGCCGCCCAACCAGTGCCGCTGGCTGAGAGGATGGGGGAGTCATAAGGAGGGTTGTAGGAGCCGCAGATACCACTACTGCAGGCCAGACTGGTGTACATGCAAGAGAAATTATTTTTTTATAGGCTGAGATGCCGGTCCTGTCCTTCATCATCCTCATTTGGTCTGTGGGACCAGATTTAGTTTCCGAAAATACACTCTGAATCAGGCCTCTGGATAGGATTTGGGGTACTCTTCCTCGTAAGGCCAACACCCAGCTGTTACTCTTTCAGTAAGGGTGCTTCACAGGAACTGCTCTTAAAAATCAGGGTGCAAACAAATAAAGAAACATGATAATTTTTAAACACACATAGTGTTTTTTAAAATTACGTATTTCGAAAGCGCAGCTGACTGTAACGGGAATTTGGCATCGTCGAAGCGCGCTAAACGCCCATCTCCAACTACAAATCGTGGGTTGGAGTTCATTTCCCTCCACCCACGTCTCTCATTTTTCAAACGGCTCATGCAACTCTCAGTTCCTCGAGCTCATTTTTAGTTTTCCGTTCAAGCTGGCTAGAACCCGCTCTCTACCGAGAGGCGTTTCACCTTCAACATTATTAGCCGACATTCTCAACCACAACGCCACGACGATGGCTGCTACGCCGACACTTAACCGCGCGAACAACACCGTCGTCAACGACCCGATTAATTCCGACAACGATCGCAATGCCCGGGAAACGTCGGGCGAACGCCGCAACAAGCGCCGGGCAGACGGCGAAACGTCCGCCCCTACTGCCGTCGACGTGCTGCTGGGCGGGCTCGAGGTCAACAAAAACGCCGAGCGGCACCAGCAGCACCCTTCGGCGCCTGTGGCGCCTGTGGCGCCTGTTGCGCCAGTGGCGCCTGTGGCACCTGTGGCGAACGTGGCGCCACACGCTGCTGACGCGGAGCACGCGCCTGAGGCACACGCGCCCCTCAGGCAGTCGCGTCAGCGCCAGAGGCGCAGGACGGCCGCCTCGTCTGACGCGACCGTGGACCCTGACTTGACCGGGGCGTTGACCCCGGACCAAGTCAAAGCGCTTCTGTCCCTGTTACAGCAGCGACCCGCCAGCGTCATTGAAGCCGAAACTACACAACCGGCAGCATCGATTTCGGCTAAAAACGAAAATTCGAAAAAGGAGAAGGGAGCAAAAGGAGCGCCCACACGCCGTCACAACAAAGAAGCAGCCACCGGCATTCCCGAAGCCGCAGCCGACAATCAGGACTCCGACGACTCAGACGACGACGCTGGTGAGGCTCCAATCAACGCAACAAATTTTACATCCATGGAAAATCTCCCCCCCCCTTCCTTCCACCACCCCCACCTTCTCGGCCGCAAACTTCATGAAGACAATCGTGCGCGCGAAAGCGGAGCCCCTGGAGGACGTGAGGGCCTACCTGAAACACGCTGAGTACAAGCTGCAGCACGACGACACGGCGGGCGGACTCGAAATGGTCGTCAACGCCCTCGACTATATTTCGGAGCGCTTCGTGATGTTCCAAGTCGAGGACCACACTGACGACCGCGTGGCGAAGCGATTCAAGCTCTACCAGCAGAAGAGTCTCCTCACCTCCCGCCCGTTCAAGCAGGCGGTGGCTGACGTGGCAGCTATGGATCGCGCGAAAGGCGCGTACGCTCGTTCCCACCGCGGTGGAGGGCACGGGCCGACTTCATACACCCCAAAGCGGGGACCGCCGCCCACGGGTGGCTTCCATGGCTTCCGTGGGGCGTGCTTCCGTTGTGGCCAGCCGGGTCACATGGCAAGTGGCTGCCCGAGAAACGGAAACGGTGGCCAAGGACCCGCACCCGTGGTGTAGGGGCGGGCCTTGAGCGATGACGCCTTGTGCGCGTGGCACGGTGCACGTCATGTGCAAAGACCGTGGGCAACCCAAAGGGGTTAGCGGTGGCGGTTGGCCAGCCCTAGTTAGGGGTGATTAATAGGCTAGAGGCCTAGGATGAGGGGGAGGGAGCAAAAACCTCTTGGCCCATTGGTAGTAGCCCATGCGGTAGGGGCGAAGGCATGCTAGGAGCATGGCAATGTATGGCCCGGTTTATATAGGGGCGGATTTATTAAAGAAGCATTTTTTGACTTGGCTCATGGTGTGACAAAAAAAAATAAATAAATAAATAAAGCAAAGGGGGGGGAGGAAAGAGAGAATAAGCGGAAGAAGAAGAGACAAGGAGAGAGGGCGGAGCAAAGAATGGCAATGACACTTACCATATGACCCCAATCAATGACCTTTGCACTCATCGGACGTGCAACCATTGCTTTGGCCAAAGGGCCAAGAAGCATGACCCGACTAAAGGGTGAGCAAGAGCAAGAACAAAGGAGAATTTGTGTGTGTGCGCACGTGTGTGTGAGAGAGAGAGAGAGAGAGAGAGAGAGAGAGAGAGAGAGAGAGAGAGAGAGAGAGAGAGAGAGAGAGAGAGAGAGAGAGAGAGAGAGAGAGAGAGAGAGAGAGAGAGAGAGAGAGAGAGAGAGAGAGAGAGAGAGAGAGAGAGAGAGAGAGAGAGAGAGAGAGAGAGAGAGAGAGAGAGAGAGAGAGAGAGGGAGAGGAGCAAGATAAACAGGAGAGGGAGAGGGAGGAGAGTCGAATGGAAGGCACGAGGCATGAAAAAAAAAAAAAAAAAAACAACTCGTGATCACATGACCGTGCGGGAAGACTCACACCCGCTCTTTGGTTGAGGGATGCCAAAAAAAAAAAAAAAAAAAAACGAGGGCGTACAATGCGGATGTAATTGCCGACAAATGATTATTCGAATGGGTCAATGCGCATACACCCATCGCATGCACCTACCCTTCACACACGAAGGATGTGTATCATATCCATAAGAACCTCAATTTGCAATCCTGCCCCATTGTGACTCCGCAAACATGCAGAGGCAACAAGCGAGGAGATGTTAGACGACGATGATCCGTACGAATTCGCCGTCACAGACAAGACCGTCACGCGAATGCGCGGGAGGCTTCGCGCAACCCTTGTATGGTGGAGCTCGTGGTGCCCAAGTAGCCTCATCCTCTCGGTCATCGCCAATGGCTACTGGCTACCATGGAGACACAACCCTCCACAACCGTTTCACGAACGCAACCATCTCGGCGCACACACACACGCGGCATTCACGCGCACGGCCATTCGCGAACTGACGGAGACCGGAGCGGCGGTCGTTACCCCGGCAGCGGAGCTTACATGCATCAGCCCTCTCAACGTGGTCGAGCAACGTGACAAATGCAGGCTTATTCTCGACCTTCGGAAAGTGAACGAGCACCTGATCATTCCGAAATTCAAATACGAGGGATTGAGCCGCGTCGCCGACTTGGCGCGCATAGGAGACTGGATGTTCTCCATCGACCTAAAATCCGGATACCATCATGTCGACATACACCACTCTTGCTGGAAATTCCTCGGCTTCGAATTTGAGGGGCGCACGTACTCCTTTCGCTCACTGCCCTTCGGCCTCGCAACAGCACCGTTTGTCTTCACACAACTCATCAAACAATTAGCCAGGCGCTGGCGCGAACAAGGCATTCGAGTTGTTCCCTACGTGGACGACATCTTGTTCTTATGCACGTCCAAGGCACATGCACAGGCAACATGCCAGATGATAATCTCGGACCTCAAGATGGCAGGTTTGGTGATCAACGCGAAAAAATCACAGTTGTCCCCGTCACAACAGCTGCGATTCTTGGGCGTCGAGCTGGATACCAACTTGGGAAAATTCTCTATTGGCACCGATCGACGAGCATCACTTCATGCACACATTCAGAATCTATTGAGCGCAAGCAAAGCACGTCGACAGGTTCCAGTCCGCCACCTCGCCAGAATCACGGGCACGCTCGCGTCAATGGCTGTCGCGCTAGGTGCTACGACTCGCGCGTTCAGCCACGCCATGCTACAAACGATCAACGACGCGCCGTCCTGGGGAAGCAGTGTGAGCATTTCCCCACCTGTGGCGGAGGAGTTGCAATTCTGGCTCGAGGAGTTTGACAAATTTAATGGCGCACCATTCCACGTCCGGAATAGCTACGACGCTGTAATCCACGTGGACGCCAGTTCCCACAGTTGGGGTGCCACTTTGCTCACCTTCCCTGGCGAACTTGAAGAAGCCAGTGCAGCCATGCCAGCACCACTGCAAGCAACGTCCAGCACCCGACGAGAAATCGAGGGTGTCCTTTGGGCCATCCGAACGTATGCGAACAAGGTCCAACAAAAACACGTGCTCGTAAGGGTGGACAACCAAGGGGTCTTCTTCATCCTTCGCAAAGGCGGTTCCCGCACCCCCGACCAGACCACCGCCTGCAAGGACATTATCCGTATCTGCATGAAGCTCGGCACTCGACTAATCGTCGAATGGATCCCGCGAGAGCTTAACTCCCATGCTGACGAGCTGTCAAAGCTGATCGACCAGGATGATTACTCTTTGAAGCAACCATGGTTCCGGATCCTTGATCGCCGTTGGGGACCGCATTCAATCGACCTCTTCGCCAACCATCACAACACGCAGCTACCACGATTCTGTTCGAAGATCCCACACCCCAAGGCTACCGTGGTTGATGCATTTTCATGCTCGTGGACAAACGAGAATGGCTTCGCGTTCCCACCACCCCAACTGATCCCGGCAGTCATCCGCCACGCACAACGCACCAATGCATCATTCACCCTAATCGTCCCCCACTGGACGGGGGCAAACTGGTGGCCACTGCTACAACCCTCCCCACCTAGCTGGGCCCCGCACGTCCGAGCGCACATTCCCATAACGCACGGCAG